GTTTCCTAATATGTTTAAGGGAATGTCTTTATCGAGTCTTCATTGTGAGTCATGTGGACTTACGAAGCATTGCCGACATTCTTATTCAACAAGCAATAAAAGATCTATTTCTCCTTTTCATATTATGCACTCTGATGTGTGGGGGCCATATCATTTGCCTACTATGGGGAGTTACAAGTATTTTATCCTCTTTATTGATGATTATTCTCGTTATACTTGGATTTACCTTATGAGATTTCGGGATGAAGTACCAACTATTGTGCAAAAGTTTCATGAACTTATTCTTAACCCAGTTTAACACCTGGATCAAAATATTCTAATCTGATAATGCTATGGAATATTTTGAAAAGAACCTTTCATCCTACTTTGAGACCTTTGGGGTTATTCATCAGAGTTCCTGTTCCTACACTCCACAACAAAATGGAGCGGCGAAAAGGAAGAACCGCCATGTGGTTGAGGTTGCTAGATGTCTCCTTTTTGCATCTCATGTTCCTATTAAATTTTGGGGGGGATATTGTCCTTACTACCACATATTTGATTAACTGTGTGCTCTCCTAGGTTTTGGGTTTCAAAACCCCGTTTGGCCTTCTCTTTTCGGATGAGGATCTCTTTTCCCTTCCTCTTGAGTTTTTGGGTGCACTTGCCATGTGCATGTTCATAATCATGAAAGACACAAATTTGAGCCTAAGGAACATAAGTGTATCTTCCTAGGATATGCCTCCATACAGAAGGGATATTGTTGTTTTGATCTGGTTCGTGGCTCCCGCTTTGTCTCTAAGGTTGTCACATTTGCTGAGTCTATTTTTCTTTGGTATTTCTCCCAAGGGGGAGCATTTTGAGGAGCCGTTTGCTATGTCTCCAACTGTTCCTCTTCCAGTTCCTTTTGAGTCTTCTATTGAGTCATCTTCTTCTGTTGCCTCTCCTTCCACTATGTCTACCTCACATGTTCCTACTCTCCCGCCTCCCCCAGCTCATCCTCCTATATTTCCCCCCATATCCTATTGTCCAAAGGTGGTACCTAAGACAAAGATTCAGGCATGGGCAAGTTGCTTCCACTCCTTCAACAGAGCCTCTTGCACCTCCCATCACTATTGAGGTAACAGGTTAGCCTTCCTCTGACCCATCTGCTACCTCCCAGACCTTGACCTTCTTATTGCCCTTTGCAAAGGCAAGCGAAAGTGTACAACACATTGTATCTCTAAACACCTGTCCTATAGCCTTCTATCCCTTACCTATTATTCTTTTCTTGTCTCTGTTTCTACCCACGTGATTCCCAGGTCTGTACCACAAACCTTGTCCAAACCTGAATGAAGGGATGCTATGATGAATGAGCTAGATGCTTTGCATAAGAACCAATACCTGGGATATTGTGGACTTGCCTGAAGGGAAGGAACCAACGGTTTGTAAATGGGTATTCACTATCAAGTATCATTCTAATGGCACTATTGAGAGGTTTTAAGGCTCAATTGGTTGCTAAGGGCTACACTCAAATGTATGGTATTGATTACCTTGAGACTTTTGCTCCTGTGGCTAAACTGACTTCAGTTCAAGTTTTGTTGTCTCTAGTTGCTACTTTTGATTGGCCCCTTCACCAGTTTGATGTTAAAAATGCCTTCTTAAATACATGAACAAGTCTATATGTCTTTACCTCCAAGGGTGTATGGAAAGGAAATGCAAGGGAAGGTGTGTAATTTGAAGAATTCCCTCTATGGTTTGAAACAATCTCTTCAAGCTTGGTTTGAGAGATACAAAGCTGCTCTTATTTCTTTTGGTTATGCACAGACTCAACCCGACTATACTTTGTTTGTGAAGAGAAGTAACTCTTTGGTGACTTGGCATAGAGTGATTATTAGCATTCATGGATTGGCAAACAATGGTTGGGAACTTGGGATGCAGGAGTCGACCCCAGGGCTTCCCGAAGCTCTCCCTGGAAAGCTATTCATGGTATTTTACCTTCATTCCTTCCTTATGTCAAATTTGATGCTTGTGCAAGAAATAAGGTGTTGTTTTGGGAAGATGCTTGGGTTGGAGAAAGTCCCCTTAATGAAAGGTTCCCTTCTATTTATTCACTTTCTGAAAATAAAAGAAAAGTGATCTCTTTAGTTTTTACGGATAACTCTTGGGACTTAGGTTTGAAGAGAGGTCTAAGGGAGTCGAAAATGACAATGGTGGATGAATTAATTAACCTTCTAGGGTCAACCTACCTGGATCAATCTTGTTTCGACAGTAGAATTTGGAAACCTTCCCCATCTGGCGTGTTCACTTGTTCCTCCTTTTTGATATCCTCGTGAGCTTTCCTTCAAAGGAGATTTGGTGTCAACCTGTACCCCCAAAAATTTGGGCTTTTTGTTGGGAGGTGGTTATCCAAAAAATCAATACTCTAGATATGTTGCAAAGAAAAAGGCCAAATGTTTGCCTATTAATTTCTTGTCCATTTGTATGCTTTATTTGGACTTGATTCTCTTCTATCTTTGGTTGTAGGTGGACACCTCCCTCAGATGTGGCAAGCCTTTTGGACCCAAGCTTTTTCAGGCAACCGAAGAGACGTGGAAGATTAATGTGGAGAGCCACAAGAGCAGCTATCTTCAGTTTGGGAAGAAAGGAATAATAGAATCTTCAAAGGAGTGAAGAAATTCAAGGAAGCAATTGTAGAAAGGATAATTATTATGACTATTCAATGGTTGAAAACTTTGGATTTGTTTAAAGACTTCTCAGCAGAAGACATTTACAGGAATTGGGAAGTGGTGGCTTCTACAACTTCCATGAAACCTATTGTGGAGGAAGTGTGGTCCCCACCAACACAACAAAGAGTGAAATTGAACTTTGATGGGAGTTCAAGAGGTAACCTGGGCCCTTTAGGTATAGGAGTATTCAGAGATGAAAATGGCAGAATTGTGGCTTTGTTTTCAGGACCAATAGGAGTGGGGGACTCATTGAGAGCGGAGGTGATGGCCTTGCTTCAAGGTGTAA